TAATGGTAACTCGTGTTGGTGGTTCTTTGTTCACCTTCCTCCTAAATTGTCTTTGCATTTCTACTGCGTTTTCATACTTCCAGTAGCATTTTAGAATAAATTTCATTTCTTCGAAGTCAAGTCTGGCTCCCATCACTCGGTTCAGTCTATAAAGAAAGAATAAATAATTGAGTTATCAGCTTCTAAAATGTGTATCCATTTTTTGGGACACCCTATATATATATATTTTTTTTTTCTCTTTGTCTGGACGACATGACGTACACAATTTCCCAAATCAGTTTGAAATGTGGACTCGTCAGACCACAGAACACTTTTCCACTTTGCATCAGTCCATCTTCGATGAGCTCGGGCCCACAGAAGCCGGCGGCATTTCTGGGTGTTGTTGATAAATGGCTTTTGCTTTGCATAGTTAGAGTTTTAAGTTGTACTTTGAGATGTAGCGCCGCGCTGTATATACTGACATTCATTTTCGGAAGAGTTCCTGAGCCCATGCGGTGAAATCCGCGACACAATTCTGTCAATTTTTGATGCAGTGCCGGCAAGGTCACGGGTGTTCACTGTTGGTTTTTGGCCTTGCCACTGACAGGCAGTGATTTCTCCAGATTCTCTGAACCTTTTGAAAATATTATGGACTCTAGATGACAAAATCCCCAAATTCCTTGCAATTGTATGTTGAGGAACATCTTCCTGAAACTGTTTGACCATTTTCTCGCACAATTGTTCACAAACAGGTGAACCATGCCCCATCTTTGCTTGTGAATGGCTGAGCAATTCAGGGAAGCTCCTTTTCCACACAATCATGGCACCCACCTATTCCCAGTAAGCCTGCTCACTTGTGGGTTGTTCCAAACAGGTGTTTGATGAGCATCCATAACTTTCTGAGTGTTTTTGGCTACCTGTCCCATCTTTTTTGCGGACATAAAATTCTGAGTTACTGATTATTTGCTAAAAACAATCATGTTTATCGGTTTGAACATCAAATATCTATTCTTTGTTGCGCATTCATTTAAATATATAAAATGATGAGCAAATCATTTTATTTTGTGTTTATTTATGTTTAACACAAAGTCCTAACTTCATTGGAATTGGGTTTGTCGGTCACTGTGTGAGAAAACTATGCAATCCATGAAGGTTTTGCAGATCTTTTAGCTGTTGCACAGATAGCTTGGCAACTTTTTATGCACTGATTAAATTGCGGCAACATGGTACCTAGTAATTAGCATATCTGCCGAGAAGTTCTGATGTTCAGGTTTTAAATCTGGGGACTGGTCTTCCTGTGTGGGGTTTGCAACTCCCGGCTAGTTGCTTTCTTTCTTTCTTTCTTTCTTTCTTTTTTTTGTCACTACAGCTTCATGCCAGTATAATACCTAGCCAAGCAACAAACTGTGATTAAGGCTGAAGTTATTTTGGGCTATTTTTTCCCAAATCTGCACTCTGTTGGCAAACATTTTCTAAAGAAGAATGTGATTATGACCTTTTCAGGGATTGGCTGGCGACCGGTTCAGGGTGTATCCCGCCTCTCACCGTAGAGAGTTGAGATTGGTTCCAGCCCCCACCCGACACTTGTTAGATAAGCATTTCAGAAAATAAATGGATTAAGTTTTCTTCTGAAACCCACCTTTTAGTTGGCGCCGTTGCAATGACAGCTTTATGTGTATTTCTGCTGTCTACTATGAGGCATCAGTGAAAATGGAGCCTGGGAGATTTCATTCATACAGCTTGAAATTCAGTCATAGCACCTGCTCTCGCTCTCCTTTACAGTGTGAATACAGTATGAATGCATCTCTGTGTTCATTTGGACGAGCCGAAAGCTGTCTGTCCAGACTCATCATCAGATAAAAGGCGTTCTGCCTGGCTGACTGATAGTCATGCTTTGCCATGAGAATAATGGAATTAATTTACCCAGCAGATGACCGATAACTCCAAACAACCTTTGTGAGAGAGGAGGAGATGCAGCACTATCAAAGCAATTTTAATTAAGATGATTGACTTCCAGCCAAATCCATGTTAGCTGTGAGCCGTCTGCCGCTTCCATTTTTTTTTACTTAATTATTTTATATACATATATATATATATATATATATATAAATTGTGCTTGCTCCTCCTTGAGTCATCACCTTATCTTGCCGAAGGATTTGTCTCTCCTATTGTCTCTTGAAGGTGGAGGACTATACCGCTTTATGCCCATGGGAAGGTGACAACAGATCGTAGGTGAGAGACCAAATAAAGCATGGCTCACCCCACCTCCAAACCACAAATGATTGGACCTTGTTTTACCTTCCTATCTGGAGCTGGGTCTGGAGGTGAGTATTCAAAGACGAGAGTAGCTCGGCCTGCACTTGTAGATGTCACATTGGTCTCCCTTCCCATGGGCTCTTTACCTGTGGACGGGGCGAAAGGAGCGCAATGCACTGTAAATTGGTGCCGGCAGAAGGCAGGGACCTGAGCGGTTCCATCTCCACCAACGGAAGCTGGCTCAAGGGATGTGGAACCTCTCCATTTGGGATGGAGCCTGGGCTGGTGTGGCAAGGATCCAACCAGATGTAGTCAGTCTTGCCTCGATACATGGCTTGGGCGCTAGGAACAGTCCTCTTGAGAGGCATTGGACACCTTTCCATTCTGGTGTTGTCTTCAGTGAGAGGTGCCTAGCAAGTATGGGCTGATTTATTAACATTGCCTCAGTGCCTGTACATTGGCGTTCATCCCGGTGGGTGAGAGTGTAGCTTCCCGCTATCCTGTGGGGTCGAGTGGCAGGTCTTGACTATTGATTGTGCCTTTCACCAATTTTCGGAGTTCTTTGAGGGGGAGCTGGAGATCGCTCCTGGTGGGGATTGCTTTGTTCTGTTGGGGTAATTTTATGCAATGTGTTCAACATCAGTGAGACCTGGACGTGTTTGATAATGTCTCTACTGACCTGAACCCAAATTGTGCATGTCTTGGACACTCAGGTAAAGACAATGACTGCACTGTCAATTGAGTACCACCTGGTGGTGTGTTCACTTTAGTAATGTGGGATGATACGGGTCAGACCCATGCTTATTTTGAGTGTATGTTGGGAACTGGCACATATGGCAGAGGCCTCTATGATGAAACTGTCACGTTTTGCGTGGTGGTAGTTGGAGGACACCAAAAAGCAGGGAGGCAAGAGAGGCGCTTGGGTGGATTGACCAAAATGTATTTAACAAAAATACACACAGGAGTACAATGGAAAAACACTAAGTCGAAATACTCAAACAAATGCCTGAAAAATCACAAGGAACCAAAGTAACAAACAAAACTATGGCAGGAAACAAAACATGACAGGAGCACACATATACTCACATACACTCACACTCACAATGACCCAACAAAGACTGTCAGAACTCAGGGAACTAAATACAAGCAAAGTGACGAGACAACGAGAAACACCTGGACAAGACATAAAGGGTTGAGGGAGCTGATTGGTTAAACACAAGGGACACTAATAACGAGAACAGGTGGAGACAAAAAAGGGCACGTGAGGGAACAAAACCAAATGTAACCAGACAGAAACACGACAGAAACGTTTTAACTCCCACCTCGAGCAGAATTTTGACTACATCTCCAGGGAGGTGGGGGACATTCAGTCTGCGTGATGTTCATGTTCTATGCATCCGTTTTTGAGGCACCCAGCCAGAGGTGTTCCAAGGTGGTGACAATTCCCAAATCTGTTGGTGGACAATGCTGGTGAGGGATCCTGCCACACTAGAAAAGGAATCCTCAGGCCTTTTTTTTTTCCACCGGTCGGACTTAGCAGATAGCTAATGGGTTCCGGCAGGCCAAGCAAAATGCATCTTTGGTGGTTACTGAGGACAAAATTAGGGTGTAGGATGCATTCAGTGAGGCCGTGGAGTTCGACTTCTGAAGGCTTTAATACGTTCAAGTCCACTAACCAGCATCTCAAGAAGTGAAAGCAGTACAACACCAACACTGAGTATTGTGGGGATGCTGCTGCTAACCTCGACTCAGGACTTGGGATGGTTCGGGAGAATACTTCCAAGATATTCTCAATTCCACCAAAATGCCTTCCTTTGTGGAGGCAAAGTCTTGGGACTCTGACATGGCCCCCTCTATCTCTGAGGTTGAGGTTTGCCGAGGTGGATGTAAAGCTCCTCAATATCATGGCTCCTGGGGTGAATGAGATCTGCCCTGATTTAAGCTCTGGGTGTGTGTGTTTTGAGATAGCGTAAAAAGCCGGGTTATCCAGGAGAGGCTCAGAGTACAGCCGCTGTTCCTCCGCATTAAAAAGAGCCCGAGGGTGCTCTACATCTGGGTCGGGTGCCTCCTAATGACCCACAGGGAGGAGGCCCCGGTTGATCAGGGACACCCTGGAGAGACTATGGGGTGCAGTGCATATTTGAAAATGGCCCGTGCTCGTATTTTGCTTATGTATTACGTTGGATGCGAACAACCGTCGAGAACCATTTAAACATTTTTATTTTCTTTTTGTGGCCAAATGCACTTGAAAAATGACAGCCGGATTTCTACAACAATGCCATGCCCTGTTTCTGTGATATCAGGTTTAAATTAGACAATGCTTTTTAATAAAAAATCAGAAGATTGACATTTTGTGTGTGTGTGTGTGTGTGTGTGTGTGTGTGCGTGTGCGTGTGTGTGTGTGTGTTTAGAAAGTCGGAATTAGAAAAAAAAAACGGTAAAGTCATTTTCTTTGCACCTATATGGATAAAATTGAAAGATTTGAATGTTCGTTTTTTTTTTTTTTTGTTTTGTATTTTTTAAATGAGAATTAAAACACTCCCTTAGTAAAACGGTCATACTGTATGCAGATTTGTGAGTTTTTAATCATTGTCTCCCAAATTCCACTTGTTTTCTTTTGGATAATTCATTTCCGGATGAAAAACGTACAGATTTGAAAACATCTGACCGAAACTGATCGTTATATGATGAGGTTTAGAAGCAACTTTGATGATATGTGCTGCTTTTGACCCTGTGTGACCTCCACTTTTTCTCTGTTTTGACAGTAATGGAGCAAAGAGAGACGGGCAGATCCCACGTCTGCTTAATCTCCCAGGGTGAAACATGAAGGAAAAAGTTCTGCTTCATAGTATAGCCAGCGGAGTTGTTTCCACCAGGAACCTTGCACCATGAATCTTGAAAGTATGTGCACAGAAGTGTAAAAAAAAATTAAAAAATAAAGAAAAAAAAATAAACATTACCTCCTCTCCCTGCGTGGACCCTCAGGAGGAAAACAAAGACCAATGTCTGCCAGCTACTCGACAATTTCCCAATGTGATCGGCCTCAAGACTGTTAACCGCAACGACTGTTATCCTGTTACTGCCCTTTTCCCTTTAGATACATTTTTTAATAGCGAGACAATATTTATTTGAATATATCAATTAAAAAAAAAAATACAAATCCGTCCAACCAATTCCAATCAAACATCCTGTTGGATTACTATATTTTTTGCAAGAATGGATCTCCTAAGTTTTTCTATCAAGCTGCAGTTGTTCCTCAGCACATGTATGGGACTGCAATTTTTAGGCACACCAGGTCAGTGGGCTCGTTACCTCCGCTGGGATGCCAGCATCCGTGGTGACCTCAGCTTCCAGTTGAAGACAGAATTCTCAGAGGCGCTCCTGCTGTACTTTGACGATGGAGGCTACTGTGACTTTCTGCAGCTGTCTGTGGTCGAGGGTCGACTTCAGCTCCGTTTCAGCATCGACTGCGCCGAAACGACGGTTGTGTCCGACAGAAGGGTGGATGACAACAATTGGCACTTTGCGACTCTCAGCAGGTGTAACTTGCGCACCGTTCTTGCACTGGATGGACAAGCCAAAGCGGATGAAGTGCGGCCTCAGCGCCAGTTCATGAAAATCGTGAGTGACCTGTTCCTGGGTGGAGTGCCTCAGGATATCCGCAGCGGTGCGCTCACACTGCCCACAGTGCGAAACATGCAGCCCTTCAAGGGCACAATCACAGACCTGAAATATGGCAAGTCTCAACCTCTGTTCCTGGGAAGTCTTAAAGTGCCCTTGGAGTCTGAGGGGTGGTGCACTGTGAACCCGTGTGAGAATGGCGGCACATGCACAGTGGTGGATGGACAACCAGTCTGCGATTGCTCCAAAACAGAATACAAGGGCCGCTTCTGCACAGAAGGTAACAAACCTTACTTTTTGGTCTGTTTTTTGACATCACCTTCACCATGTGGCCAGAATCCATTAAAAATGATGATGATGTTTAGAATTCTTTGTCCTATCCACTGTATTGACGAAGGTATTGGTATACCAAGTAACCACACAATTAAGTGGGTGGGGGGATGCCAAGTCAAATCTGGGAGCAGGATGCAACCGGGTTGATTCTATTTAGATCAGGGGTGTCAAACTCATTTTTGTCACGGGCCACATTGTAGTGACTGTTTCCCTTTGAAGGCTGTTTTGACTGTGAAACCCAAAAAGGATAACGGTTTAACCCTGTGTTTGATTTGCTTTCGCGGGCCACATAAAATGATGTGACGGGCCAGATCTGTGATTTAGATCACAGGTGTCAAACTCAAGGCCCCGGGGCCGGATCTGGCCCATCACATCATTTTATGCGGCCCATGGAAACAAATCAAACATGTCAACTTCGACCATGATTGTTAAAATCTGGACCCAAATTTCAACTTCTCATGTGTCATAAATATGAGCGATATTGGAAGCATTTTCTTGTTACCAAACCCCTCATGACAGTAACTTAAACAATTGTTGAACCAACCACGATTCTTGACTTCTTTAAATGCTTTCACAGTCATAACGGCCCTCCAAGCAAAACGGTCACTTCAATGTGGCCCGCGACAAAAATTAATTTGACACCCCTGATTTAGATGATGACCACAACTACATCTATCACCGCTAGTACTGCTACTTTTATTCCGACCCCGACGCTGTCTTCAAGCACCACCACCACACATGATACCCCTGACATTCTTCCTCATGAAATATATCATTGTGTTAATTTTGGGTGCGGCTGTGCTGTAACAATAAATGGAATTCCCCAAACAATTTACACAAAGCAAACACGTCTGTAGACGAATTAAAATTCAGAGAGGAAATTAGGCGGTTTGCCAAATCTTTGATTGATTAACCGTCTTCTTAATGGCTTGTGTCCTTGCTTCTGACCTTATAATGCCCCTGCACTATTGAGCGGTACTGCCTGAAGCTTTTTTGGGTTATCCGGGGCTTATCATTTGATAACAAATAGGCGAGAAGTCAAATCCAAATAATCAACAAGAACACTCTGTCCTTTCACAGTATGTATTTGTAATGGCACCATCACAACAGAAATGATATGTTACAATCACAACACTTAAAATGTAAAAAAAAAAAAAATCGTTATTCAAACGATTGTTTCAGCTAGTGTTGCGGGCGCGTGGGTTATTTGACTTTGTGGGCTTGCCAGGATCACACTGTGATTGTCCCTCATGCATGCATTTGTGTAAACGTGCGTGTGCGCATGTGTGTGAGATGCAAAATCTGAAAGCTAATCTAAATACTGCTAGCCAGTACAACACACTCTCATGACATTGCTTCTGCAGTCACTGATAAGGATGCCTCTTGAGAGAATGGCGCTCACCAGGCCCCTTTTCATTATCCAATCACAAGATGTCAGGTGTTTTATATCACGTTCTTTTGTGCTGGGAATTGCAGTGGTGCACTGCTGAAAATCCAACCCCCCTACCCCCGGTCCCAGTTTCCTCAACAACCTCACCTTCCCATGTGTTTTCTCCCTGCAGTCCAAACACAAAACACTCTCGTTTGCTTACCCCGACCAGTCACAGCATTACGAGCACTTTGCAATTTATAAGTCAGGAGCTGTCTGAGATATTCAGCAGAACAGTTGCTAAAATAATGCAGAAGAGTTCTGCAAGGTACAACCCAATAATAGACATATTAATACCTCTCTCACAACTTTGTGAAGGCAGAAAATATGATACAGCTATTGTATTTTTATTGGATATTGTGAGGTTGACCTTGGGTCCATTGAAAAGTGCTGCATGAATTTGTTTTCCATCCATCCATTCTTCTTAGCGGGATTATTTATTATTGTGTTTCCTATTACTGCTACTACGACTACTACTACTACTACTACTACTTCTAATTATAATTCATCATAAGGTGGCATCGTTCATTCACCTTGCAGTGCAGAGGTCATGGGTTCAAATCCAACCCCGGAGTTTGCATGTTCACCCCATGCCAGTGTGGGTTTTCTCCAGATACCCCAGTTTCTTCCCCACATTCCAAAAATGTACACTCTAAATTGTCCCAGGCTGTGAATGTGAGTGTGAATGATTGTTTGTTTGTGTGCCCTGCGATTGGCTGGCAACCAGTTCAGGGTGTCCCCCGCCTACTGCCCGAAGACGGCATGGATGGGCTTCAGCACGCACCACAACCCTTGTGAGGATTGGCGGTTCAGAAAATGGATGGATGGATGAATAATTTTGTTTCGGGTTCATAATGCTGTGGCTGGTGGTGTATGTCGAACTCAATATCTTGAGAGACCATTTGAAATTGATTCAATCAGCTCTGTTTTTTTTCCTCTTTATATTAAAAAAGCCTTGCTTAGTCGCAATCAGTAGACTTTGTTACACATCTTTGAGTCAACAAACTCTTTCCTAAAATAAATCATCAGCAACAAGATCATGATTTTTTTGAAGGAACATTTTCCACTTGATTAAACATGTTTTCTAAACCCATTTTGACTCAGTTCATCTCTTGAAGAGGTCTTTCAGTGTAGACAAATGAAAAATGTTGCCTTATTTGTCTCAATAGGTAAGGCAAACTATAACTAACCTCAGTTTTATTTCATTTATTTGGATCCTCATTAGCTTTTCTTTAGTAGGTGTTCTTCCTGCAGTCCACTTTGACCATGGGTTTCCTCACACTACAATACACTATTTCTTTACAAACCATAAAAATATAAAATTGAAATATTCTTGTTCTGTAAAAAAACTCGTACTGCTTTCCATGTTTGAACCCCTATCCAATGACGTTGGAAAATATGATACAAAAACTTGCAAATCCTTTTCAATCTATATTCAACTGACGACACGAGGAAGACAAGATATCTTTTTTTTTTGTTTGTTTTATTTTTTCGAACTGAGGACCCAAATTGTTGCTTTGTAGGTGGAATTCTTTCCCATTCTTGCTTGATGTACAATTTCAATTGCTCGCCAGTCCAGGGTCTATGTTGTCATATTTTTTGCTTCATATTGTGCCACGTTTTCAACTGGAGGCAGGTCTGGACTACTGGCAGGCCATTCTCGTACTCACTCTCTTTTACAATGAAGCAACGCTGATGTAACACAGAAGTAGAATGTGGCTTGGCATTGTCTTGTTGGATGAAGCAAGGATTTTTCTGGAAAATACATTGCTTGGATGGTAGCTTAGGATGTTGCAAAACCTTTATGAACCATCCATCCATTCATCCATCCATTTTCCGATCCGTTTTATCCTCACAAGGGTCGCGGGGGGTCCTGGAGCCTATCCCAGGTGTCTTCGGGCAGTAGGCGGGGGACACCCTGAACCGGTTGCCAGCCAATCGCAGGACACACAGAGACGAACAAGCATCCACACTCACACTCACACCTGGGGAAAATTTTGAGTGTTAAATCAGCCTGCTATGCATGTTTTTGGAATTTGGGAAGAAACCGGAGAACCTGGAGAAAACCCACGCAGGCCTGGGGAGAACATGCAAACTGCACACAGGAAAGCCGGATGCAGAATCGAAACCTCCACCTCTGCACTGTGAGGCCGGCGTCCTTTATGAATGAACCTTTCAGTATTAATGGTTCCTTCATGAAGCAAGTTACCCATGCCAAAGGCACTGCCATACCCTCTTACAATCATAGATGTTGGCTTTGGAAATTTGCCCTGATGAAAATCTTGATGATCCTTTTCCTCTTTGGCCCGGAGGACATGACATACAGGATTTCCAAAGACAATTTAAAATGTGGTCTTGTCACACTATGGGACACTTTTCCATGTTTTCAGTCCATCTCAGATAAGCTTGGGTTCAGAGAAGTTTGCGGCATTTCTACACTCATTCCTTCATTTCCACACCAGTTTAATCTACAAACAGGACACCACACTGTTCCCACTTCCCTTTCAGATTCAGCAGGCGACATGCTGTTCGCTCCATTCAGGAAGTCCATGTACATGGCCGTCGAGTAGACATTTTAGTGCTTTACTAAGGGGGTCATATCATGCTATTTAAGCTTCCCACAGCATAGATATGATTATCTATTGCCTTTGGCACAATGGTGATATAATTCTTAGGTAATATGAGTTATTTTTGTGGCCATTTTCTCCTTGTATGGGTGCCGCACCTCTTTCATGATGTCGTCGTAAAGCTAGCTGCTGCGCGAAACACCCACGAGACGGTAATGGACAGTTATCACTAGTCCGACTAGTGCCAATTTTCCATGAATGCCAAACAGCCACACACACCAACAAACCACACCATACGGACTCTGTTGCTGTTGCAATAGGCACGTGGTGAGATGGGAGCGTGCTTGATGGTGACACTTGTAGCATGTGGGGTTCTGCCGTAATATTTCACATTTCGAGTCTTGGCCACTAAACTATGAATTGCCTTTCGTGCAATGTGGCCACGTCGCAAAATAAAGTACGTCAAATGCACAGAAGGAGAAGCTTTGTAGAAGAAAGTTCTATTTCTGGCTTTATGCCAGCGAGACTCATCCCCTCAAGACATTTACAACAAAATTTAACCGGGGGAACCATATTTACAATTTCATTTGTTCCATGTAGGAAGTCGTGTGATAGAGATTTCATTGATTGGGTTTGGCACACCAATTTAGGCTGGTGCAGTCCTAACCAAGCCTGAACAGATGTAGGTTACTCGGATGAGACACGAGAAGCCTTGTAAGGCAAACAACATTCCAGTTGCCACCCAATCAAATCCATGGAAATGAAATAACTTGAAATTTACTTTGCAAGCGGCACGCAAAGCTTGCCGCCAGTGCTCAGTCATTCTGAATGGAAGGCTCGTTGTCATTCATTGGACCGCATCTCGGAGTCAGCGGCTCTTCGTCTTCACTCTGCGGCATCCGAAGCCAGTCATTGAGTGCTGAAATCCACCATCCCCAAGCGGTGTTGCTCCGCTCTGGCGTCTGGAAACCCCTGATTGAAGTGAATGGGACCCAGTGTGGGGAAAGGAGCCACTTCTCTTCAACTCCGGCGCAAAATTGAAAGTGTTTCACTGGTTGCTGCTCTGAGAAAGTAGCCGTGTCTTTAGACTACGGTCATGGCGCCGTCGTAGCTCCTCACTTTGTTACAAATAAAAGTGGGCACACAGTCGGTTTCTTGGATTGGGCAGAGATGTTGCTGAGAGAGGAGGAATGAGCACCACTTTGGGGGAATTACAATTTTAACTTGGCTAAAAGCTAAAAAAAAGTTGATTGAGCATGATATGGCCCCTTGAAATGAAATGTTTTCCTTTACCTATGAGTGACAATATGGGAACATTTTTATAATGCTTGTATTGGCACGTAATTAATTAATGTGTGCTGAAATAATTATTGGTGTCACACATCTCTATTCAATAATATTTTCTATTTTGATATATCGCTGATTTGATTTTTTTTGAGGGGTGGGGGGAAGTACATACCCACATCGTGTAACTTGTTTTGATCTCAGGTTTTGGACACTTGTAATACTGGTTTGGCCACCATGTCCAAGTCTGATATTGGAGCCACGTCCCAACCAAGAATCATATCATGCTTTAAGAAAACAAAACGACAGTCAGTAACATGCCTTGCAGAGAGGCTTTTGTCGGTCAACAAGTCATGGGGAGGGAACCCCATCATTTACTGTACATCCCATTCAGTTGTAGAAAGATAGTGGCGTAACCTCGACAGTAATTGGGGACTGTGTTTTTGTTGTTAGTTCGAGGCTAAATCATTGCGTATGGATGTGCTGAAATTAATATACAGTGTATTATATTCTTCATTTTGAACTCACTATTATGGCCTCTTGCCTTTTCCACCAGCCAGATAAAGTGGATACGATTATAAGGTTATCGTAAAAGTTGTCACTTTTGAGACTTGTGCTCATAAATAGGATTTCTGAAAGTTACGTAATATTACAGTGTGTTCTTGTTCAAGCCAAGACTGATGCTCCTGGGTGTATCCATTTGATGAGGTACAGTAATCCCTTGTTTATCGCGGGGGTTACGTTCCAAAAAGAACCCGTGATAAATAAAATCCGTGAAGTAGGATTTATTAAAAAAAAAAAATAAATAAATAAAAAAGCAAAAAAATGTGAGAGGTATGAATTTTCAAATGACAATAAAGTTGTACTTGGTACTTGATAGTCAGCTTTATTTTTTACAGTTATTATACAATACTGAACTATGTATACAATGCAGAGGCGATTGCTCTAAGACTACGAGGTGCGGAGACTGTTCACGTTGGTCAGTCCCTTAGCCAATCAGGATGCAGAACACAATTCACTGTTTAAAAGAAAGCATTAAAATAACTGCACTAAAAAAATCCGTGAAACAGCAAAGCCGCGGAAGGTGAACCGCGTTATAGCGAGGGATTACTGTATTGTAATTGCAGAACTAAATCATTCTAAAAATCTAAATAATTCATTCTTATTCTTACATTCGTAGAATTGAAATTCATCAAAGCATCATCAATCGTTTGGAACCACTTCAATCTGTATTGAAAAAAAAAAAAACGCAGTTGAATTCAGATAAAGTTTTGACAAGATATGAATGCCGAGCTTCTCAATGTGACGCGTGCAAATAGAGTAATCTTGGTTTTGTAGCCCCTTGGTGTTTTTTTTTTATTTTTTTTTTTTAAGCAAACCTCTACAATCTGCCAGGTACATTAATCATGTTCCGTTCTAGCAACATTCAATTGGAGTGTACAGTTGTACAAATTCTCTCAGTCGATAACCTCATTAAATGAGATGATATTCAATGATGAAGTGGTTTCTTTTAAAAACAACTCATTTAGGATTGTGTCTTGGTTAGATGACACACGGAGTAAGTGCTGTGCATGCAGCTCTGCTGTGCAATCTCGCTGCGAAAGCAATATCCGATTAGGACCACTGTGAACAAGATGAGCTCTGGTACTCTTTAATCAATGATTAATTAATGAAGTCAGAAAGAAGAGGAAATTAGTAGAAGTGCTGAACTGGATCAGTAAAATTGATCAGAGAAGAGAAAGCCAGTGATTCAACTCCAGATTAAGTGACTAAAAGTAACAGAAAACATTGAACAGCACCACGTACGTTACCCAATGCCGAGGGACAGAATATTAGAGTATAATGTGCAAAATTAATTAACATTAGATTTTATTTATTTATTTATTTATTTTTGCGCTCGCTCAGCCCGGTGGTACTGGTCAGCGCACTGGCCTCACAGTGCACAAGTGCAGGGTTCGATTCCGGCTTGACCTTCCTGTGTAGAGTTTGCATATTCTCCCCGTGCCTCTGTGGGTTTTGTCCGGGTACTCCGGTTTCCTCCCGCATTCCAAAAACATGCATGGCAGGCTGGTTGAACACTCTAAATTGTCCCTAGGTGTGAGTGTGAGCACGGATGGTTGTTCGTCTATGTGTGCCCTGCGATTGGCTGGCAAACAGTTAAGGGTGTCCCCCGCCTACAGCCTGAAGACAACTGGGATAAGCTTCAGCACTCCCCATGACCCTTGTGACCCGCTCAGACCTGCTGCAACCACAGGTCCTCGCAAGGTCCCTTCGGTGTTCTGATGAATTTCTCCTTGCTTCTCCCAAAACCAGGATAGAGCTCAGGGGGGACCGAGCTTTTACAGTCGCAGCTCCAAAGCTGTGGAACAAGCTGTCCTTTTAGTCAAGCCCCGACTCTGCAGGGATACAAATCATGCCTGATGGCATATTTTCACTCCTTGGACTTTCAAACTAATTTGTTACTTTCCCCTGTTCCTATTTGAGACCACGTGCAAAAGATTTTGGTGGCAACTTTTCTCATCTTTTGAATAGACTGTATAAATAAAGTGATACCACTCCCAGGTCAAGAGCGCAGGAGCGGATGTCACTGGACAACAAGAAATTTCGTGAGCACTGAGCTCCTCACCCGAGTAACTAAAAAATAGGGAGGGGAAACTTTTTTTCAAGAGATTACAGCAGATTCATTTCCACACACACACACACACACACACGCACACGCACACACACACACACACACACACACACACACACATATGCCTCACAGATGACCATTTGACCAAGTAATTTGACACCAGCCCGTTACACTAGTTTTCATTTCAAAACTAATTAATAGTTCATGCATATCTGATTGACTTCCATCTGCCTGTGTTCATATTAAGTCACACTCCCCCCATTCGTCCCAGCCAAGGAAATTAAATGCATCTTTAATAATAATTACCTTTCACATTATTTTGAAGCAACTTGATTCACCTGAAAATAAATGTATTTTGACCGTTTTTTTTGTTTTTGTTGACATCACAAGCTTCGATGCATGTATGCACTGTATACTTATTCATATTTTGCAATCATTTTAACTTGAAACAATGATGTTTTGTCCTTTATTTTGATTTTCTTCCCTTCCGCTTCTTCATCAGCATAATTGTTACAAACTCTGATTCATGAGGTGAATTGTCTGCAGTGAAAGACAGACAGAGGAAAGAAAAGCAAAAGTTTCACGCTTGGCATTTTCACCCAAATTATGAACACTGTAATTATGTTCTGTGATTGAACTGCTCACTGCAATGTCTTTTTTGCTGGGTACCAAACATACACATGGCTGCGCTCACTGCCGGCCATTTGTATGGACGTTGAGGAGTGCTGTTATTTGCATGACAGTCAACATGCAAGTCATGTAAGAGTGTGTCTAATTCTTGCTTTGTTTTGCTTGTCTCTCTATCTTTTGTTTCAGAGGGCAGCAGCAAAACACCAGGTGAGTTGGAATGGGGGAAAAAAGGATTATAAAAAAACTGAGTGATATAGGCCACTGATAGAGGGATTTTAGTATAGTATATAGTAACCTACTGACATTATTAAAAATCCAAGTAGAACATTTACTGTCTATGCATACATACATAATAAGAATCTATAGAATTTGTAGAACTGTGCCGCACACTCGTGGCACTTTTCCATGAGCCCGCTTCCACACCAAGATGGTCTTACTTGGCCACGAGTGGTCGCTTTTCCATCAGACGTTTGGGGGTCTAATGTGGTTACAGAAGAACCGTTTTTCAGAACTCTGAGGTGGTGCTAAAGCACCGGCCATCTGGAGCAGAATAGGGCCATGTCATCATTGTCATTTGATTGGTTGACACACCTCAAGGAGTGTATTGGCCCACTTCACAAACTGTGTCAGCACTGTATTGACACTGTGTTGGTCACCCAATAGTGACCCCTGCAGTAGTTACAAAATCATTGCAGGTAAAGAAATTCCTTGTTTGTTTAAATGCTAAACTGAGTTGGTATGTAAAATATAGCAAATTTGAGTTACAATTCAGATTTTTAACTTATGTAGAAAATTTTTGTTAAATCGTGTGAAATAAAAGACAAAAAAGCGATTAATTTATGAATTTTTATTGAGGAACAAAAGTTTTTGGATTGTCTTTGCTCCATGGTAATTTCTCCTCTTAGACACCAGCTCCCCAGACTCAGAAAATACTCTTTCACATGGTTCAGATGACAATAGTGAGCAGAGTTTCAAATGAAAGTTGATGCAGATGTGGATATGTTTTCTGGTTCCATTTCCAATATTGTACAGGGTCTTGGTTTCTGGGTGTGTTTGCTTCAGACAAGCAGCGTTGGACTTCAATTATGGAGGATCTCGCAATTATAAGATAAAATGAATAAAGCAACTGTAAGGCTCTCTAACTATCATATGTATAACAGGTCATTTACTTGATAAACTGATAAAGTGGGTGCAATGCGCCACCGTAAAAAACAAATGTATATAACAGTAAACAATGCTCAAAGGAGAAAAAGATTTACCAAGATCAAAATTATTCCACACTGGGGAAAACTTCTTAGAACGATCCATAATTTCGCAAAACTCCAGCCAACAAACCCACGACATGTTGATACAGTTTGTGTCCTTATAAACACACTTTGGCACAGCACATTCAAACGATTCAGTTCCTCTATTGGTCATGTGATTCTTTCTTAAAACAGTACACGCACCGATATGGGGTTTCACTCTTGAGTTCTCGGCACTGTGCTCACGCACCAGTATCGCTCGTCCCATCACTAGTTGACAGTGATGCAGCAAGCAACGTGGCAAATTTATAAATTTCCATGAAGAGGTATTTTTCAAGGAGAATTTTTTTTTCTTTATTTCTTTTCCCACCTCCAGGTTTCACTGGAGAACACAGTAAAATTCCGTAATTAAACAAGTTGATATCCCATTCAGTTTAACTGCAGGTTAGTAAAATCGGGGAATTGCAACTTATCCTGAACCTTCAGATGTTTCTTTTGAAGAAGAAACTGGAAACTTTGTGTTAACTGTCAGTGTGTCCTGATGTCATGCTTTCCCTCTTTGGAAAAACATGTCTCATCACAATACCGAAGTGTATTGAAAATGTGCTCAAGTGTTCTCTTCCACTTTTTTTCCCCCCTTCCTCTCTCTGTGACCTTTTCAAGGCCTTGCACACATGATGGCAGAACAAGGTATGACTCTCTTTTCCCTTTCTCTGTCGTGATCAGTGTTTGTTTTAACTGCCGTAACACGGTTACATGTTACATTGGTACGATAAAATTATGGGCATTAAATACTTTCTGCATTGTCCTACAAAGTTGAAATGCAGTCATGCAGTCTTTTGTTTTTCAAGGCAGCAACAGAGCACGTTATGTTGTGGACCATCCACGATGTTACATTACACGATGTAACGCTACGCTTAGTTTACTCCTGGGCTAGTTAGCTATAGGTGACTGTTTTTGAAGCTACATACAGTAATAACCAGTGTGTACAAAACCCAATTTCAATGAAGTTGGGACATTAAAAATATAAAAATATAAATATAATAATTTTCATTCCTCTTCAGCCTATATTTAATTTATTATACTACTAAGACGTGGTAGTTCAATGTTCAAATGAATAAACATTAAACATCCCCCCGCAACAGCAAAACCAACACAAAAACATAATAAAACCATACTGGTTTACCGCATTCTTGTTTTTATTTTGTCTTTCTTTTTTTTCAGTAGGGGCACCACACATTTTCAATGGGAGACAGCTCTGGACTGCTGGCAGGCTAGTCGAGAGTAGTACTGACACTCTTTTACGACAAAGCCACACTATTGTAACACGTGCCGTCATCAAGACAGTGAAAACAGTAAATGAATAACCCAAATTAATACATTTTAAATCAATTAATAACATTAAGCAGTTAACTAATAAATTAACCAATCCATTAATCAAACAAGTTATTAATTAATTACTACCAACATAAAAACAGCACACATCATAAAACATGAGAACAATACTGAGTCTCATGCTGAGTCCAAAGCCAAAGAATAAAAATGTGTCTTGAGATGAGTTTTAAAATTGGACAGAGAAGGACCTTATTCAGGTCGGCCCAGTCTGTCACTCTGTCATCGTTACTGTATTTGTAACGTGCTTCCTTCATCACAAAATTACATTTCATCACCACAATTTTATGACCGTTTGTAAAAATAAAAGTGTTTACAAGGCTAACAGCACACAATTTTATTCATTTAGAAATAGTGTGGACCATATGTAAATTGGGCCATATATATAAATGTTCATCGTTACTGTATTTGTAACGTGCTTCCTTCATCTCAAAATTATATTTCATCACCACAATTTTATGACCGTCAGTAAAAATAAAAGTGCACATAATTTTATTCATTTAGAAATAGTTTGGACCATATGTAAATTGGGCCATATATACATGATTTTACTTTTGCTGCTCCTCATCCTGCTTGTTGTCCCCAAAATGGCGTCTTTTTTTGTTTCGGGTTCGTGGCAGTCCAGGGGTGGGTCGAAAATCGATTCCATCGGCGCTTATTCCGTCAGTGTTTCGATGTTAACGTCAGTCGTCGGTCCGCCAGCGAAAACGCGAGTCCAAATCAAGAGAGGAAATCAAAATATTATTCGTCATTGGTCAGTGGTCTGTACATCCTAAAATAAAAAAAATGAGAAGTGACAGCATCTCTTTTGATCAGGTATTAGTTCTACCCTTTTTAGGGAAGCACAACATTAAAAAGTGTGTGCTCTGTTGCTCCAAACTATGCTTTAATATGTGGTGGGTTGATGTGGTTGCATGTTTGAAGTGGTTTTTGATGTGCAATCTCGCCCGTATATCATTTGATGCAAATGAAACATGTTCTCATGAGCAGAATGTACAATATGTGCACAAATGAAAGCCCTGTAATAGACTAAACCCACATATCGTTGTCCGATGAAAAGCAGGAACCTCAATTTCTGTTGTAGCTTTCTTCATCAGCAGGCTGGTTTCAACACTGGCCTCACAGTTCAGAGGTCGGAAGTTCCTGTGTGGCGTTTGCATGTTCTCCCTCTCTAGGAACTCTGGTCCCTTTCCCCCGCCCTCCCCTCATGTTACAAAAATATGGGAGACTTTTTGAAGAAAAAAACAATTCCATAGGTGTAAATGAGTGTGGGCGGCCCAGTGGTTAGTGTGTCGACCTCACAGTGCGGAGGTACTGGGTTCAATTCCAGCTCCGGCCTCCCTGTGTGGAGTTTGCATGTTCTACTCGGGCCTGCGTGGGTTTTCTCCAGGTACTCCGATTTCCTCCCACATTCCAAAAACGTGCATGGCAGGCTGATTGAACACTCTCAATTGTCCCTGGTGTGAGTGTGAGCATGGATGTTTTTTTTTTTTTGTCTGTGTGTGTCCTGCGATTGGCTGGCAACTGGTTCAGGGTGTCCCCCGCATACTGCCCAAAGACGGCTGGGATAGGTTCCAGCACTCCCCCGCAACCTTTGTGAGGATAAGCGGATCGGAAAATGGATGAATGGATGGCTAAATGAGTATGAAAGATTGTTTACATAAATGTGCTCCATGATTGCCTGGCGATCACTTCAGGGGTGACACTACCTCTCACCCAAAGTCAGCTGGGATAGGCTCCAGCACACCCTACAACCCTAGTGAGGATAAGGACTATCAACAAACCTTATTTTCAGATTAAAAAAAAAAAAAACAATGTCATATGGAGATGCATGATGTTCATCATCAATCCATCCATCCATTTTCTAATCCACCTATACCCCCGGGTGTGCTGGAGCCTATTCCACTCTTCATCGGGCAGTAGTTGACCGCTGTGCCGCCTCATCAACAATCATTTTGCTAAATACATTGCATATAGGTGGCACGGTGGTCGACTGATTAGAGCACCAGCCTCACAGTGTAGAGATGGAGAGTTTGATTCTGCATCCGGCCTTCCTGTGTGGAGTTTGCATGTTCTGCCCGTGCCTGTGTTGGTTTTCTCCGGGTACTCCGGTTTCCTCCCACATTCCGAAAACATGCATGGCAGGTTAATGGAACACTCTAAATTGTCCCTCGGTGTGAGTGTGAGCGCGAATGGTTGTTTGTCTCTGAGAGCCCTGCGATTGGCTGGCAACCGGTTCAGAGTGTCCCCCACCTCCTGCCCGAGGACGGCTAGCATAGGCTCCAGCACCCCCGCCCCCACGACTCTTGTGAGGATAAAGCAGATCGGAAAATGGATGGATGGATGGATGGATGGGCATGGTGTATCATGCTTTGGGACAAATTACATTGGTAATATTGCTGCACAACCACCGTTTTTCCTGTTAACTTTTTTGAGTTTACTTTTATTTTAGACTATTTTACTGCTGTATTTCAGTAGAACTGATGAACGATGGGTTTTTCCAAAGATCGTCTTGTAACTGCTCATGAGAATTCTACTTATTGACATGTATTCACCAAAACGAAAGACATGTTATGCTGTGTGTGATAACTCACGAAGTCTGTTTTACTGTTCCCTGTTTGTGTGTCTTGGCTCTGGCTGTGGACTCTTCTCTCTCCACCTCCACCTGCTCTTCTAGCTAAAAGCAAAGGTACAGCTTTTTCGAAATCGTTCCTTTTTCGGCTTTATGAAAAGCAGCGTTTGCACTGTGAGTGTTTGAGAGGACATTATACGTACATGAATGCCTTTCGATGTTTAATGTGTTTACATGTCTGTGCTCACCTTTTCTTCTCTAATGGCTGCTCGGTGGAAGATTAAATTAGTAATTAAGTCAACCTTAATTGAAGCGGAATGAAAAGAGTGTTCGTTTGCTGTTCCTCTCTTAATGTTTGCTCATTTTTCTGAGGGTCACTTCATGTGTGAAGTGGGACCAATAGATGTTTTTGACAAATCCAAGTGAACAACATTCTTTTACAAGAAAACACTTCCATTAATTTTTCCTCACCTCAACAGTGGCATAACAAACATGACAGAAGATTAAATTAAACCATCAAAACCTTAAGGGCCATTGTTCAATTTGTGTGCGGACAAGATGCTGTGTGAGGAAGGCTGCACTTTTTCAAGGTTATTAAAATGATTAAAAAAATTCCGGTAATCTAAACCTATCTGTCATGCATGTATAAATATGTAATTATGTGTAAAAGTGTATTTAAAAAAATACATTTTTATTGACCAAAAATGTACATGCTCTTTCGAAAGGATGAAGATTATTTGTAAATAGTTTCTTTCCATTCAGTATAGCCTGAATTCATATAATGATATACATAGAATCCCTTCACAGTCATGATGAATGTCAAAATGTAAAAAAAAAAAAATCATAATGAAAGTATTTCTGAATAGTAATTTGCTGTTCATAGCTGGTGACTCTTCAGCCTGAAGCAGTTCGAACCAGATTTATTTGAAAAGTCTTTGTGTTCCTTTAGGATTAGCTTTAGCTTCTCCATCTTCAATGTTCTCTCTTGTTGCTTGCTGCGTTTGCATGCTTAGCTGTTCGTCTGCACTCAGTAATAGCGCTAGTCTCATATGCACCTTACTTGCCACTGCAGAGGCAAGGATTCGGACTTCCACACTGCATCGCCCATGGCTGCAAGAAGTGGGCGGATTGGCTAGTCGCTGCTGCCCATAAAAGTGCAGTGCAAGTTAGATGAGCACCTAGCGTTCGCAAGCAGCCGTGAAAGTCGGGACAGGATGGGCTCCGGCCTCTTGCATATTCTCCATGTGCCTGTGTGGGGGTTTTTCCCGGTACTCCGGTTTCTTCCCATATTCCATAAACATGCACGGAAGGTTGATTGAACACTGACTCTATGGGGAGGAAAAAGCTTTATGCCTATACAATCCAAAATACTGTGGCAAGTGATTTTGATATTTTCAGAATTTGAAGTGGGAATGAGATCTATACAAATCTACACGTAAATTTTGCTTATAACCGGTCATAGTTTTTTGACATTAATGAATGTTAAGCATTTTTACATTAAGCATACAGTGGTACCTCTCCTTATGCAATGAATTGGTTCTGGAAGAAATTTCTTAACTAGATTATTTTGTAAATAGAGACGTGTTTTCCATTTAAATGCCCTAATCCGTTCCAAGCGCCCCCAAAATTCAGACATAAATGTTTTCTAAAGCATACAAATGCGTCAAAATATGTAACAAATACATGTTCCAATTAGATTATCGCACAATGAATGAGAGTTGTGCATAATGTAAAAAAACAAAGAATAAAGAAAAACAAGCAGCCCAAAGCCTTGCTGTCGCTTCACCCTTTGACTTGTACAGTCCAGCCAATTTCAGCATCTCAAATGTAGGCTTACAAGTAGGTCACATCCAAGTCCTTCCAACTGTCCCCATACACGGCTTCCCCTTTAAATATATCATATACAGTAAAAACTTTTCACTTCATAGTATTGTGAAAAGCTCAAAAATGTTGATTCTTTTTTTTTTTTTTGTCTTTGTTGACAACATATCTGGAGCCATTTTAGTTACGTGTAGTTTAGCAGTACTAAATCTATAATACCTTTCTAATTTTGGAAGGTAGTGTCACTAGTGCGTTTGCTGGTATTCGAGAAACAATTGGGAAAGTCACTGAGGGTGTCATTGTCATCAGAGAAGGATGCCTTATTATCTCACAACACACATTCTACTCTCTGTCACTTCCGTGGTCAGAAAGAAAACCTTTTCTTAACCCTTTCGGAGACAGCGGTTACTACAGTGGACAGCTTATCATGTTATTAGGTTACTGCCTACTGCCCGAAGATGGCTGGGATAGGCTCCAGCAGCCCACGCGACCCTTGTGAGGATAAGCGGATCGGAAAATGGATGGATGGATGGATGTTATAGTGACCTTGGTCGCGTTCAAAACAAGCCGAAGAATTACATGTAAAATGTTGATAATTGTGATATTTTGTATACAGCTTAAGCAGCCGAAAGCAATATTGACGCCACATAACACAATTGGGTACAGCATGTGTACAGGAGATTGAAAACGAGTGAATTTAATGTTTACCCGATTCTCCCCATTTGATTCGGAAAAGTAAGTGAATTTGAAGCAAAAACAAAAAGTAAACTATATCCTTTTTACTCTGTGTAAGTGGTTGCATAGATAGATAGATAGTAATTCATGTGTAACATCCATGCCCCATGAATGCCTTCCAAGTGTCATTTGCTGCCATCTGGTCGCAGAATCAACTCCCCAGTCTGGAAAATAAAAGGCCCAGCGTTGTGTGCTGCGACTCAACTCTGACGAGATCACGCTACTGTATGTGTGTATTCTAACAATGCTTTTTTCCAGATTTTTGAAAGAGTTTCATCCACACTCACTGGGAAAACATCGATACACTTTTTTTAGTGTAATTCATGAAGCCCATGCTTGGTTCGCTTCTCACACCTACTGTTTGACAGAAATGCCATATTGTAGGGTGGCCTGTGCAAGCAAGAATCGTGTGCCAAATAACAGCGGTGGCATCATCCAGACACCGGAGCCAGACACAGCAGAGCGGGCAAAGCCCTGACAAATCATTCTCTTCACTGATTCCCTCTGCCATAGCTTGTCCCTCTACTCGTTTTTGAGCATACTGTATCGTGTTTTCTAGAATGATGTATTAGCGTTGCCAAAGGAAAACACAACATTGTGGGTCTGCATCTGTGCAAGCCAGTTGGCCAGGCAAAGCATACGATATATAATCTATATCATGCCTGACCCGCATTGAAAGTAAACACACACACACACGCCCACCAGCACGAGACCAAAACTCAGCAGGATCCATCCAGTGACTTGTCAATAATCACAATATCACAATGTAAAATAAAATATATCCATCACAATATTGGCGAATGAAAATCACGCTTAAGCCAAGCCAAATAAAACAACTCACAATAAAACAAACCTGAAAAAGCATTCATTAGTACCAACATTTAATAATATTGGGCACTGTAAGGTCTTATTGTCACTTTTGGGGAACAAAATGTGCCGAGTGTAAAAAAAAATGATGATGGTTATTATAATTATTCTCTTGAGTGAATTGCATTTTCGAGGGCCTAAACATGAACAGAAACTCACTCAACTTTGTGCAGTCATCACACCAAACACAATATAGCACGTCCTATAGAGGTTTAATTATTGTTGTTCCTAAAACGTCCTTGCCCCACAAAAGGGGTAAAATATATACCGGTATATATATTTTTAGTCAGCGTTTGTCAGCCATAGGGACAATAAATATCATAAATTTGCCATGGGGCAGCCCGGTGATCCAGTAGTTAGCACGTCGACCCCACAGTGCAGAGGTACCGGGTTCAATTCCAGCTCCCGCCTTCCTGTGTGGAGTTTGCATGTTCTCCCCATACCTGTGTGGGCTTTCTCCGGTTACTCTGGTTTCCTCCCACATTCCAAAAACACGCATGGCAGGCTCATTGAACACTCTAAAAATTGTCCCTAGGTGTGAGTGTGAGCACGCATGGTTCATCTGTATGTGCCATGCGATTGGCTGGCAACTGGTTCAGGGTGTCCCCCACCTACTGCCCAGAGACATTTGGGATAGGCTCCAGCACCCCCGCGACCCTTGTGAGGATAAGTGAATCGGAAAATGGATGGAAAATTGCCATGATGCCTTATTCGCTGCAAAGATGAAAGCGAGAGTTTATATTTTCTCATCAACTATATCCACACGCAGCATGCTCTTTAAACGCGGACATATGGACTTTTGATCTAAGAAAACATTTCTCAAATGAATATTTTTTATCAAATCACTGCTTTAAATTACATGGAATTTTACTGAGGTATCAATTGTCATTTAATGGCTAATTTTAGACGTCATCATCATCTGAAGCACCAAACTATTGATGACTGAGAAAGGGACCAACAGAGAGCGCCGTATAATGCATTGGAGCACGTTTAGTTGAAGATGGCAGCCCCAATAGTGCAATTGCCCCCGAGCAAGTACATTTGAGCTTTAGAACGCTCCCCAGACGACATTTCAAAGAGGAGGTTGGGGCTACGGCGCGGGGTGTGTGTGGGGGGGCTGTGGGGGTTGGTGTGGTAAGGGGGGGGGCGAGAACATGCTTCAGGGGAAGAAAAACATGCTGCTGATCTGGGAAACGATTAAAGCTAGATTCGTACTGACAAGTTTTCTCTTCTCCCAGAGGGAGATGGCGCTGGGAGCAAGAGTATAGACAGAAATATGAGAGAGTGGGTGGGAGAGAGGGGGAGGGAAGAAAGAGATTATGGCCGAGGAAGGACTGGTTATCGTAATTAAATGGAAATGTATTTTATCCTCATCCTATTGATTTGTGCCATGGGCAGTGTGTGTATTTCCAAAGGAAAAGGTGCGTTATAATGCTGGTTTGGAGCAGGCATTGGTGTTTATAGCAGATGTGAATATTGCAGTCAACAATCTTTTTAGTTTGTCATTTAACTCCGAGCCACATTGCACAGCTGCCAGATGCAACTGGGCTCATTCAGGGGTTTGAGAACGCAAACACGATGAGACGACACACGGCGTGCAAAAATAAAGAAAGAATAAGAGAGAAAAGACTGAAATGCATTTTTTTTTTGAACTTTCCTCCTTCCTTTTTGGTTCTCTTTCTATCCGTTTTGAT